ACTGATGACAGTGGTGAGAGTGAATGACACGTATGACATGCAACAAGAGTCCACGGCCGGGTTCCAACTGTGGATATGTGGTTACTTAGACACTATGAGTAATCCCTTTAATATACAACAATGATTATAGGTGCTTTACGGCATCACACAACCTACCTGAGAGCCAAATCTTAAAAAGGCTGCTTTGACCATATTATCAGAAATACTGAGTTATACTTCTCTAAAGTAAACTTTTCAAAAGAGAGTACCTTCAATAACATCTGAGTTTGATGAGTAGTAGTGGAGTGCAGTTAAGGAGGACTTTGGTTGACCCACCTCATTCTGTGTGGGTCAATGCGCAGCATGTCTTTATCTTTCTTCCAGAAGAGCTGTGGAGTAGGGGACGCGTCCACTTTACACTCTAACCTAACAGTGTCGCCCTCGAGAGCTCTGGAGTTCAACATCTTCTGGACAAAGGTGGGAGGACGGAGAGCCTCCTGGGCTGCAGAGAGGAGGAAGAGGTTGCATAGCACAGGAGATTCAATTATGTCCCATCCTGAAGAAGTACTTTACAAAGCAGGGCTGGTATAGATTTACTAAAGCAAATATGATCATTATTAAGCTGCACTATAGTCAAATTAGATTTTAGAAAACAGGATGTAAGGACATTTTTACCTAATACATCAAGCTTCATGGTAAACCTGCTCTCCCCGGCTCGGTTCCTGGCCACACACTCATACACTCCAGCATGGTGCACTGTGACGATCTCTATGATGAATGAGTGCATCCCCTTTTCACACACCAGCATCTTATGGTAGTCGTCTGGACGAATGGCTTTACCGTCCAGATACCAGCAGACGTCTGGTGTAGGGAGGCCTCCGACCTGGATGGAGAGAAGAGAGAAGTTTGACCTTTGTTGAACTTTGCGTTACCACACCATTATTTTGATATGAGGGAGCCCCTGACCTTGTAGTAATACAGACTGGAGTGTATTCATACGTGAGGCTCTTTGTGTTAATGAGTAAGTGAGTGCTTCACCTTGAAGTCGATCCTACAGAAGCGTCCCTCCTCCACAGTGAGGTCTGGGGGTATCTGCAGGAAGCGAGGAGCGTAACATTTCTCCTGAATAGCTGCACCCTCGTTTGCCCTCTCATCTGTCCCTGAGTGGTGCCTCCCCCTGCAGGGGCACAGAGAGTGAGAGCTTATTTATTCATGAGCTCACTTTACCTCACTTTCAATGACTGAATGTTACAGTCCACTAGTGACAGCGCACACAAGCTGCTGTATTAACGCTGATTCCTGTTCAGTTTCTGTCCTCTGACAGCATGGCTACTGGATGAGGGACTCGAGCCCAGATTCTGTCTCTCCTGACAG